CGTTGTCGAACTTAATGCCGCGATCAGCGAAATTTCGCAACGTTTCAAGCTTCATGCTGCAATCTGCAAATGTTTGCGGCGTTGTCGATTTTTATTTCGCGATCCGCGAAATTTCGCGGCGTTGTCGGGTTTCATGCGTATTGCGAAATTTCGCTGCGTTGTCGGGTTTCATGCCGCGTGCTGCGAAATTTCGCGGCGTTGATGGGCTCCATGCCGCAATTTGCAAAATTTCGCCGCGTTCTCAGGTTTCATGCCGCGTTCTGCCAAATTTCGCGGCGTACTCGGGTTACCTGCCACGTTTCGCGAAATTTCGCGGCGTTAATTGGTCCAATGCCGCGATCCGCGGAATTTCGCGGCGTTGTCGAATTTAATGCCGCGTTTTTCGAAATTTCGCATCGTTGTCGAATTTCATGCCGCGTTTNGCTGAGAGTCTCTATGGCAGCACCTCTGTTGGCTGACTTCTTATACTTGCACAAATTTAGGTATATTAGAAGATCAGGTGATGTCTTCTTGTTTCAAAAAGCACCTGCTAACAGTTCAAAGTTCACTGTGCAGTTCAAAATGATATAATGTGTCTTCTTCGTGTATGTTGACACACTTCTTTTCTTCCAAATTTTTCATTTCACATAACCTTAAAAGTTCAGGTGGTTGAGTTCACTAAAGGTTGTATGACTCGAGGGTCATTGAAATTTGTCTGGGCAAAGTTCCTTTTCACCAAAGTGTTGTTCATTTTAAAGGTAGTATGTTAACAAATTACATATCTCTATTAATGTCTCTCTCTCTCTCTTAATACTACTCTAAGTCTTATATCTAGACTATTCTATTCAATATTATGTCTATTCTAATTCAATATTGTCTCTATTCTAATTCAATCACTTTAGTTTATCAATTTGAGTGGGTGTACAATGTAGCATTGGTGTTTGTTTCCATAGATGAATACAAATGGAAATATATAAACGGATTTTGGTCCACTTCAGGACCCGCAGAACCTCAACCATCACAGGACGACCAGATGACGTACATTCATCCAGAATCTCCAAACTTCGGAAGTCATTTGATGTCTAAGGACATTTCCTTTTCAAAAGTTAAATTAACGAAAAAATGCAACAAGATAAATGGAGTAAGAAAATATTTACGTGACTCAGTTAATAGTTTCTTCATAATTTTCTATACGAATTAACTTTATTCTTCTATTTTTTCGCCATTAAGGCAACTTTAACAAATAGGAATTAATAGTTAACTTAATATTCTTTTTATTAAACAAATCGAAACTATTATTTTACTAGAACTTAGATACATCAATTCTTTTGTTATATTTATTTTATTTAAAAATTTAATAATTTGTCTACTAATCCCGAGATAAATCCAGTGATACATTTCAGTAAGTCTTTTTTAAACCAACCTTCTATTTATAACTTACATCGGAGTAAGGACAACGGTTTTTTGAAAGTGTGTTTAGAAAATA